CTGCACAGTAGAACGTCGAGGAAAGGAAGTTTGCCATCATTTTCGAGTTCAAGTGTAAACTTTATTGATGGTTCAGCTGCATTGATCTTGTTGAGAAGGGCCTGGATATTGAGACGTCTCGGATAGAATTTCCAACCTGAATGTCAAAAACAAAAGCATGGCTTCCTTCGATGTCACAGCCCTCTTCACCAACGTTCCTACTGACGCTGCAATCGACATTCTGAGACAGAGGCTCACTGAAAACCACGACCTCCCTTTACCTCTTCTAGATTTCATTAATGTAGTGGAACTCTGTGTTAATTTCAACTTCTTCAAGTATCAGGACAGCTGTTACAAACAGTGCTTTGGGATGGCAATGGGCAGCTCGCTCAGTGCTGTGCTTGCCAACCTCTTCATGGAAAACCTGGAGACAGAGAAATTCAGCACCCTCATTCCCAACACCGTTACCTGGCTAAGATACGTTGATGATATATTGGTTTTCTATCCGAGACGTCTCAATATCCAGGCCCTTCAACAAGATCCCAAAGCAGTTGAACCATCAATAAAGTTTACACTTGAACTCGAAAATGATGGCAAACTTCCTTTCCTCGACGTTCTACTGAGCGATCTCCCGACAGTGACAAACTTCTCTTCAAAGTGTATAGAAAACCTACCAACAAGGACGATCTTATACACTTTTATTCACTCCAAGACACCCGCACTAAGAGAGGAGTCCTCATTGGCTTCTTCTTGAGAGCTCTTCGCATCTCCAGCCCTTGTTTTCTAGAAGAAGAATGCACTTACATAACACAAGCCTTTACACGTCTTCAGTTCCCATCTTTCTTCATCCGAGATTGCAGACTCAAGGCACAAGCTCTCCTCAACAAACCGCCCATGGAACAGCCCCCTAAGCAGTTCATAGTACTCCCATGTGGTGATGTTGCCACGAATAACTCGTCGTGGCACTTGCTATGATAACATCAACGTTTCCACCATAAACACATCATCTACTAACAAAGACCTCACTACGAAACGCAGCCCCACACCTCTAACTTCTACAGCAGGCGTCTACACTATGCCCTGTGGGTTCTGTCCCAAGAAATATGTAGGCGAGACAGGCAGAGATCTTGCAGTCCGCCTGAATGAGCATCGAAATTCCTCTAACAGAGACGATGTAAGGTACGCCTGTGTCCTCCACAGAGACTCCACGGGGCATTTGATGAACTGAATGAGGCACAACTCGTTCTCACCGAACCAGACCTCAGACGCCGACTGTGCCTAGAAGCCTCACTAATCGCCGTCCACCGACACTATAGAACGCAACACTGGAAACTACAAAATTTCAAAAACATTGGCATACATGATACTTAAGCACCCACCAACCCAACACACAGGAGTCACATGATTCATCGTCTACCCGTCCTCATCATAGGTAGAGGTTGTTTTGATAAGGACCTGCCTCGCATGGGCCAGTAGGCCTTCTACAGTGTTCCTCCATTCTTATGTTCTTATGTTCTTATGACATTCCTCAGGTCACGTGCGTCACACCTCACTCTCCGCCTATATATATAATGTCTTTCTACCTCTGTATGTTAGAAGTGATCAAGGTCCCAGGACCGAAACGTTTTCTAATAAATATGTCATAGTGTTTGCTTACGTGTCTTTCTAAACCAATATTTCTGATACATGGGATCATCTTTGTCATCCTCCTCTGTACGTTTTCCAGATCATTTATATCCATTCTTGTCACCGTATTACAGAATGGATATAAATGCTCTGGAAAACGTACAAAGGAGGATGACAAAGATGATCCCATGTATCAGAAATCTTCCCTATGAGGATAGACTGAGGGCCCTGAATCTGCACCCTCTAGAAAGGCGTAGAATTAGGGGATAATATGATCGAGATGTATAAATGGAAAACAGGAATAAACAAAGGGGATGTAAATAGTGTGTTGAAAATATCCAGCCAAGACAGGACTCGCAGCAATTGTTTCAAGATGGAAAAATTCAGATTCAGGAAGGATATAGGAAAGCACTGGTTTGGTAATAGAGTTGTGGATGAGTGGAACAAACTCCCGAGTACAGTTATTGAGACTAAAACGTTGTGTAGTTTTAAAAATAGGTTAGATAAATACATGAGTGAGGGTGGGTGGGTGTGAGTTGGACCTGACTAGCTTGTGCTGCTGGGTCTGGTGCCGTGCTCCTTCGTTGAGTGGAGGTGACCAGACTGGGTGGGTCATTAGGCTAATCCGGGGGGGGGGGTCATTGGGCTAATCCGGGGGATCATTGGGCTAATCCGGGGGGATCATTGGCTAATCCGGTGGGGACATGAACCTGCTCCGCATGGGTCAGTAGGCCTGTTGCAGTGTTCCTTCTTTCTTATGTTCTTATGTTTTTAAATATATTTTTCTCGTTAGGTTCAGAATTATTTTTGTGAAATTATTGCATACACAAATTTTCGCTTGCATTATTCGGGAAGAAGAGCGTTGCTATTTGAGCCAAAATCAGCACGATATATATATATATATATATATATATATATATATATATATATATATATATATATATATATATATATATATATATATATATATATTATTTTTTTATTATCACACTGGCCGATTCCCACCAAGGCAGGGTGGCCCGAAAAAGAAAAACTTTCACCATCATCACTCCATCACTGTCTTGCCAGAAGGTGCTTTACACTACAGTTTTTAAACTGCAACATTAACACCCCTCCTTCAGAGTGCAGGCACTGTACTTCCCATCTCCAGGACTCAAGTCCGCCTCCCGGGTTTCCCTGAATCCCTTCATAAATGTTACTTTGCTCACACTCCAACAGCACGTCAAGTTTTAAAAAACCATTTGTCTCCATTCACTCCTATCAAACACGCTCACGCATGCCTGCTGGAAGTCCAAGCCCCTCGCACACAAAACCTCCTTTACCCCCTCCCTCCAACCCTTCCTAGGCCGACCCCTACCCCGCCTTCCTCCACTACAGACTGATACACTCTTGAAGTCATTCTGTTTCGCTCCATTCTCTCTACATGTCCGAACCACCTCAACAACCCTTCCTCAGCCCTCTGGACAACAGTTTTGGTAATCCCACACCTCCTCCTAACTTCCAAACTACGAATTCTCTGCATTATATTCACACCACACATTGCCCTCAGACATGACATCTCCACTGCCTCCAGCCTTCTCCTCGCTGCAACATTCATCACCCACGCTTCACACCCATATAAGAGCGTTGGTAAAACTATACTCTCATACATTCCCCTCTTTGCCTCCAAGGACAAAGTTCTTTGTCTCCACAGACTCCTAAGTGCACCACTCACTCTTTTTCCCTCATCAATTCTATATTCACCTCATCTTTCATAGACCCATCCGCTGACACGTCCACTCCCAAATATCTGAATACGTTCACCTCCTCCATACTCTCTCCCTCCAATCTGATATTCAATCTTTCATCATCTAATCTTTTTGTTATCCTCATAACCTTACTCTTTCCTGTATTCACCTTTAATTTTCTTCTTTTGCACACCCTACCAAATTCATCCACCAATCTCTGCAGCTTCTCTTCAGAATCTCCCAAGAGCACAGTGTCATCAGCAAAGAGCAGCTGTGACAACTCCCACTTTGTGTGTGATTCTTTATCTTTTAACCCCACGCCTCTTGCCAAGACCCTCGCATTTACTTCTCTTACAACCCCATCTATAAATATATTAAACAACCACGGTGACATCACACATCCTTGTCTAAGGCCTACTTTTACTGGGAAAAAATTTCCCTCTTTCCTACATACTCTAACTTGAGCCTCACTATCCTCGTAAAAACTCTTCACTGCTTTCAGTAACCTACCTCCTACACCATACACTTGCAACATCTGCCACATTGCCCCCTATCCACCCTGTCATACGCCTTTTCCAAATCCATAAATGCCACAAAGACCTCTTTAGCCTTATCTAAATACTGTTCACTTATATGTTTTCACTGTAAACACCTGGTCCACACACCCCCTACCTTTCCTAAAGCCTCCTTGTTCATCTGCTATCCTATTCTCCGTCTTACTCTTAATTCTTTCAATTATAACTCTACCATACACTTTACCAGGTACACTCAACAGACTTATCCCCCTATAATTTTTGCACTCTCTTTTATCCCCTTTGCCTTTATACAAAGGAACTATGATGCTCTCTGCCAATCCCTTGGTACCTTACCCTCTTCCATACATTTATTAAATAATTGCACCAACCACTCCAAAACTATATCCCCACCTGCTTTTAACATTTCTATCTTTATCCCATCAATCCCGGCTGCCTTACCCCCTTTCATTTTACCTACTGCCTCACGAACTTCCCCCACACTCACAACATATATATATATATATATATATATATATATATATATATATATATATATATTATATATATATATATATATATATATAATATATATATATATATACCATTAAAAAATTACATTATCAAATGCCAAATTGACCCCTTGAAGCCTGTCAGAAGAGGAAGTGTCAAGTTATTGATTGTACGGGGAAAAAAAATCGTGAATGAATTACATAACATTGTCAGCATGACATCAGGACATACCAATAACTGCATGAACTTTTCCCTAGTTACAGTACACCAGTATAAAAAAATTGAAGTTGATGAAATGAGACGTTCTCAAAATATATACGGTAACCTTCATGTAAGAAAAATAATTCTGGCAACCGTCTAACCAAAACTTTCTTCAACTCCTCTTTGGTCTTTCTACATCTCCAGGTCCCTTACCATATCCAACTTCAGGGTCACTCATATAATTATTATTCTATAAGACGGGCAGCTGATGTATACATTGCTCATTACCATGTTTAGGAACGTCACTCCCTGTAATGAATGAGCCTCAGTTATCACATAAGTAATGCGTATCTGTAATAACTTTTGTCATATTTCGTTATAGTAATGATAACTGCTAGTGACTGTTATGTCTATACGTGTCTTACTAATGTATTTTCCACAGCGTGTCCTGCAGCGTGTCCTGCCCCTTGTGGTCGCCGTTGCCCAAGTCTCCTCGTCGCCACTGCCGGAGAAGTCGCCCGCCTTAGAATTCGGCGGTTTCCAGCCTGTTCATGGCGCCCGCGGCACGGGTCCCGCCTCAGGATATGGTGCTCCTCCTCTTGTACCTGAATATGTCCCTCCACCTCTCCTACCTGAATATGGAGTTCCACCTCTGTCATCCGGATATGGGGCCCCTGGGGGTGTAGGTGATGGTCATGCTAAAACAATTTTCGTGAACGTTCCACATCCAGAGCCTATTAAACCCTTGCCTCCTATTGCGGCCGGTCCACCACGCAAGCACTACAAGATCGTGTTCATCCGTGCCCCTCCACCCCAGCCGCCGCCACAGCCTATCCTGCCTCCACGTACCGAACAGAAAACTCTGATATACGTGTTGCACCAACGGCCTCAGGTTCAAGAGCAGAAAGTTATTAACTTGCCACAAGTACAACACGACCCAGAGGTGTACTTCGTGCAGTATGACAACCCTCCATCTGCTGAGGAGCTGCAGCAGCTCTCTGCAGGCAACTTGGAAGGATATTCCATAGCTACACAACGCACGGGGCATAGTGCAGACATCGGCTCTCTTCCACTCGCTACAGATGGCGCTGAGTTAGACGCCGGCTTAGGTCTAGGTGCGGCAAGGGGTGCACTTTCCTCACTATCGCCTGGGAGTGGGATAGGTGGTGGTGGTGATGGACATTCCCTGCCAGGCCTGGTAGGTGCTGCAGTTGGTCACAAAATTTCCTCTCTATCATCTGGGGGTGGAATAGGTGGTGGAGGCTCTCACGCAAGCACTGTAAATGCTGCAGTTAATCACAAAATTTCCTCTCTCCACGGAGGTGGGATTGGCGGTGGAGGTTCCCTTGCAAGCACCGTAGGTGCTGCAGTTGATCACAAAATTTCCACGCTCTCTGGAGATAATACCGGCCTGGGAGGTTCTGGGCATGGGTCGTTATTAAGCGGATCCTTAGGAAACCTCAAAGGGAACTTGGTGCGCCACTTAGCTAGCAGTAGCATATTAGGGGATTCTGAGCCCTTTTTCAGGCCGCTTACCAAACTTTCATCAGATAGAGATATAGACAATTCTTTTGAAAACCGCGTCGGTGTAGCTGGCAAAGAACTGACGCAGTTGCCAACCCGGACCTGAACACAGCCTACACTACCTCTCTTTCTTTCTCTCTCTAGTCTCACACTATGGGCGGTGATGTCTATTAGCTCAGCACAACCCCCACCTACATACCCTTCTCCCTGCCCCTCCGGCCTCTTCCTTTGGGAGCTAGTCAGGGGCGCCCATTAAGTACCCAAGCCGGCAAACCAGTGGAAGGAGGTGTTGCGGGCCGTCACTGAGACAAATTCAGTATTGACTAAACTTAAAATTAAGGGAAGGGCATCTCTAACACCTGTTCCAGGTTCAATGCCTATAAATTTTGTGTTTTGATAGGTGAATATGGGTTTTAACTGCCACCTAAAGAAAAATAATATGGCTATTTGCTTTCAGGTCAGATGTGGAACAGAAATATATTACTGGAATCATTCAGAATTAAGCAAAGTCAGAAATGTCAAACTTCGCAAACTATTAATAGGTCATCACAAACAAATTTTGAGAAGCCCCATTGATTCCCTTGTCCAGGGCCACAAAAACCCTAAGGTTACTCCTTCTCTCAGGGACCTTGAGGTCATCCTTGCTCAGGGGCCCAAAGACGCCACTGTTGTACGGATCTTAAGGTCACCCCTTAGGATCCCTTTTTTGCAGGGATCCTAAGGTCACTAACAGAGACCACGAGGTCATCCCTTTCCAGGACCGTACAGTCACTCCTGATGCAGATACCATAAGGTCACCCCGACAGGAACCCTAAAGTTTTCCCTGAATAGAGACCAAAGCCTTCCAGGTAATTCCTGCCAGGTACATTAAGGTCACCCCTCCTCAGGGAACACTAAAGTCGTACCTGCCGAGGAGATACTAAGGTCACTCCTGCCCAGGAGGCAAGAAGATCACCCCTTTCTAGGGGACACTAAGGTTACCCCTGTCAGGGATCCTTACCTCTGCCCAGGGGACATTAAGGTCAACCCTGCCCAGAAGGCACTGATATTACCTCTTTTTAGGGGACACTAGGGTCACCCTTGACCAGGGAAACTAAAGGTCACCTCTGTCAGGAACAATAAGGCCACTCCTGTCAGGGGCTCCAAGATCAACCCAGGCAGGGAGACTAAGGTCAACACTGACAGGGACATTAAGGTCAACCCTGACAAGAAGACGCTAAGGTACCCTCTGATAGGGACATTATGGTCCCACCTCTCAGGGGTCATTAAGGTCACCCCTGACAAAATCACTAAGGTCACACCTGACAGGAGCATTAGGGTCACCCCTGAAAGAGACGCTAACGTCACCCTTGAGAGGGACACAAAGGTCACCCCTAACAGAGACAGAAAAGTCGCCCCTGACAGGGACAAGAAGGTCACCCCTGACATGAACGCAAAAGTCACCCCCAACACGGACAATAAGGTCACCTCTGACAGGGACACAAAAGTCACACTTGACAGGGACACTAAGGTCACCCCTGACAGGAACACAAACGTCACCCCTGACAGGGACACTAAGGTCACCCCTGACAAGGACATTAAGGTTACCCTTGACAGGGACAATGAGGTCTTCCCTGGGAGGAACGCTAAGGTCACCCCTGACAGGGACACTAAGGTCACCCCTGACAGGGACATTAAGGTCACCCCTGACAGGGACACTAAGGTCACCCCTGACAGGGACATTAAGGTCACCCCTGACAGGGACATTAAGGTCACCCCTGACAGGGACACTAAGGTCACCCCTGACAGGGAGATTAAGGTCACCCCTGACAGGGACACTAAGGTCACCCCTGACAGGGACATTAAGGTCACCCCTGACAGGGACATTAAGGTCACCCCTGACAGGGACACTAAGGTCACCCCTGACAGGGACATTAAGGTCACCCCTGACAGGGACATTAAGGTCACCCCTGACAGGGACACTAAGGTCACCCCTGACAGGGACACTAAGGTCACCCCTGACAGGGACACTAAGGTCACCCCTGACAGGGACACTAAGGTCACCCCTGACAGGGACACTAAGGTCACCCCTGAGCTACTTCATTAAGTTATTGTATATTGTTAAAGTCATTTTATATTGTACATAGTAAAGTAAGTAAGGATCCTATTTCGTGAGCGGACCACCTGGCCGCGGTGGACCGCACCCACCACCTGGCCGCGGTGGGCCGCACCCACCACCTGGCCGCGGTGGGCTGCACCCACCACCTGGCCGCGGTGGACCGCACCCACCACCTGGCCGTGGTGGGCCGCACCCACCACCTGGCCGCGGTGGACCGCACCCACCACCTGGCCGCGGTGGACCGCACCCACCACCTGGCCGTGGTGGGCCGCACCCACCACCTGGCCGCGGTGGACCGCACCCACCACCTGGCCGCGGTGGACCGCACCCACCACCTGGCCGCGGTGGGCCGCACCCACCACCTGGCCGCGGTGGGCTGCACCCACCACCTGGCCGCGGTGGACCGCACCCACCACCTGGCCGTGGTGGGCCGCACCCACCACCTGGCCGTGGTGGGCCGCACCCACCACCTGGCCGTGGTGGGCCACACCCACCACCTGGCCGCGGTGGACCGCACCCACCACCTGGCCGCGGTGGGCCGCACCCACCACCTGGCCGCGGTGGGCCGCACCCACCACCTGGCCGCGGTGGGCCGCACCCACCACCTGGCCGCGGTGGGCCGCACCCACCACCTGGCCGCGGTGGACCGCACCCACCACCTGGCCGCGGTGGGCCGCACCCACCACCTGGCCGCGGTGGGCCGCACCCACCACCTGGCCGTGGTGGGCCGCACCCACCACCTGGCCGTGGTGGGCCGCACCCACCACCTGGCCGTGGTGGGCCGCACCCACCACCTGGCCGCGGTGGGCCGCACCCACCACCTGGCCGTGGTGGGCCGCACCCACCACCTGGCCGTGGTGGGCCGCACCCACCACCTGGCCGTGGTGGGCCGCACCCACCACCTGGCCGCGGTGGGCCGCACCCACCACCTGGCCGTGGTGGGCCGCACCCACCACCTGGCCGCGGTGGGCCGCACCCACCACCTGGCCGTGGTGGGCCGCACCCCACCACCTGGCCGCGGTGGACCGCACCCACCACCTGGCCGCGGTGGGCCGCACCCACCACCTGGCCGCGGTGGGCCGCACCCACCACCTGGCCGCGGTGGGCCGCACCCACCACCTGGCCGTGGTGGGCCGCACCCACCACCTGACCGTGGTGGGCCACACCCACCACCTGACCGTGGTGGGCCACACCCACCACCTGACCGTGGTGGGCCACACCCACCACCTGACCGTGGTGGGCCACACCCACCACCTGGCCGTGGTGGGCCGCACCCACCACCTGGCCGTGGTGGGCCGCACCCACCACCTGGCCGTGGTGGGCCGCACCCACCACCTGGCCGTGGTGGGCCGCACCCACCACCTGGCCGTGGTGGGCCGCACCATCGCTCTCTTCCTCCTGTAATATTCTGTTATGATAAGTTGAATTATAAAGTAAAATATTACTACTGGACTTTGTATTTATTTCCTGAAGATTAGTGACACTCAGCCTGCCACCCTCAGCCTGCCACCCTCAGCCTGCCACCCTCAGCCTGCCACCCTCAGCCTGCCACCCTCAGCCTGGCACCCTCAGCCTGCCACCCTCAGCCTGTCACCATCAGCCTGCCACCCTCAGCCTGCCACCCTCACCCTGCCACCCTCAGCCTGCCACCCTCAGCCTACCACCCTCAGCCTGCCACCCTCAGCCTGCCACCCTCAGCCTGCCGCCCTCACCCTGCCACCCTCAGCCTGCCACCCTCAGTCTGCCACCCTCAGCCTGCCACCCTCAGCCTGCCACACTCACCCTGCCACCCTCAGCCTGCCTACCACCCTCAGCCTGCCACCCTCAGTCTGCCACCCTCAGCCTGCCACCCTCAGCCTGCCACCTTCAGCCTACCACCCTCAACCTGCCTATCACCCTCAGCCTGCCTGCCACCCTCAGCCTGCCTACCACCCTCAGCCTGCCTACCACCCTCAGCCTGCCACCCTCAGCCTGTCTACCTACTTCAGCTTACCTACCACCCTCAGCCTGCCACCCTCAGCCTGCCTACCACCCTCAGCCTGCCACCCTCAGCCTGCCTACATCCCTCAGCCTGCCTACCTCCCCAAGCCTGCCTACCAATCTCAGCCTGCCACCCTCAGCCTAACTACCACCCTCAGTTTGCCACACTCAGCCTGTCTTCCACCCTCAATCTGATACCCTCAGCCTGCCTCCCACCCTCAGTTTGCCATCCTCAATCTGCCACCCTCTGCCCGCCACCCTCGGTCCTGCCACACTTAGTCTGTCACCCTCAGCCTGCATACCACCCTCGACCTGCCTGGCAACCTCAGCCTGCCTACCACCCTCAGTCTGCCACCCCTCAGCCTGCCTCCCACCCTCAGTCTCCCACCGTTAACCTGCCTACCACCCTCAGCCTGCCTCCCACCCTCAGTCTCCCACCGTTAACCTGCCTACCACCCTCAGCCTGCCACCCTCAGCTTGCCTACCTCCCTCAGCCTGCCTACCACCCTCAGCCTGCCTACCACCCGCAGCCTGCCTACCACCCTCAGCCTGCCACCCTCAGCCTGCCTACTACCCTCAGCCTGCCACCCTCAGCCTGCCTACCTACTTCACCTTGCCTACCACCCTCAGCCTGCCTACCACCCTCAGCCTGCCACCCTCAGCCTGCCTACCACCCTCAGCCTGCCTACCACCCTCAGCCTGCCTACCATCCTCAGCCTGCCACCCTCAGCCTGCCTACCTCCCTCAGCCTGCCTACCACCCTCAGCCTGCCTACAACCCTCAGCCTGCCACCCCCAGCCTAACTACCACCCTCAGTTTGCCACACTCAGCCTGTCTTCCACCCTCAATCTGATACCCTCAGCCTGCCTCCCACCCTCAGTTTGCCATCCTCAATCTGCCGCCCTCTGCCCGCCACCCTCGGTCCTGCCACCCTTAGTCTGTCACCCTCAGCCTGCCTACCACCCTCGACCTGCCTGCCAACCTCAGCCTGCCTACCACCCTCAGTCTGCCACCCCTCAGCCTGCCTCCCACCCTCATTCTCCCACCGTTAACCTGCCTACCACCCTCAGCCTGCCTACCACCTTCAGCCTGCAACCCTCAGCCTGCCTACCACTCTCAGCCTGCCTACCACCATCATCCTGCCTACCACCATCATCCTGCCTACCACCCTCAGTCTGCCTACCACTCTCGGCCTGCCTACCACCCTCAGCCTCCCTACCACCCTCATCCTGCCACCCTCAGCCGGTCTACCACCTCAGCCTGTTACCCTCAGCCTGCCTACCTCCCTCTGCCTGCCTACCTCCCCAAGCCTGCCTACCACCCTCAGCCTGCCTACCACCCTCAGCCTGCCACCCTCAGCCTAACTACCACCCTCAGTTTGTCACACTCAGCCTGTCTTCCACCCTCAATCTGATACCCTCAGCCTGCCTCCCACCCTCACTTTGCCATCCTCAATCTGCCACCCTCTGCCCGCCACCCTCGGTCCTGCCACCCTTAGTCTGTCACCCTCAGCCTGCCTACCACCCTCGACCTGCCTGGCAACCTCAGCCTGCCTCCCACCCTCAGTCTCCCACCGTTAACCTGCCTACCACCCTCAGCCTGCCACCCTCAGCTTGCCTACCTCCCTCAGCCTGCCTACCACCCTCAGCCTGCCTACCACCCGCAGCCTGCCTACCACCCTCAGCCTGCCACCCTCAGCCTGCCTACTACCCTCAGCCTGCCACCCTCAGCCTGCCTACCTACTTCAGCTTGCCTACCACCCTCAGCCTGCCTACCACCCTCAGCCTGCCTACCTCCCTCAGCCTGCCTACCACCCTCAGCCCGCCTACCACCCTCAGCCTGCCACCCTCAGCCTGCCTACCACCCTCAGCCTGCCTACCACCCTCAGCCTGCCACCCTCAGCCTGCCTACCACCCTCAGCCTGCCTACCACCCTCAGCCTGTTACCCTCAGCCTGCCTACCTCCCTCTGCCTGCCTACCTCCCCAAGCCTGTCTACCACCCTCAGCCTGCCTACCACCCTCAGCCTGCCACCCTCAGCCTAACTACCACCCTCAGTTTGCCACACTCAGCCTGTCTTCCACCCTCAATCTGATACCCTCAGCCTGCCTCCCACCCTCAGTTTGCCATCCTCAATCTGCCACCCTCTGCCCGCCACCCTCGGTCCTGCCACCCTTAGTCTGTCACCCTCAGCCTGCCTACCACCCTCGACCTGCCTGGCAACCTCAGCCTGCCTACCACCCTCAGTCTGCCACCCCTCAGCCTGCCTCCCACCCTCAGCCTGCCTACCTCCCTCAGCCTGCCTACCACCCTCAGCCTGCCTACCACCCGCAGCCTGCCTACCACCCCCAGCCTGCCACCCTCAGCCTGTCACCCTCAGCATGCCTACCTACTTCAGCTTGCCTACCATCCTCAGCCTGCCTACCACCCTCAGCCTGCCACCCTCAGCCTGCCTACCACCCTCAGCCTGCCTACCACCCTCAGCCTGCCTACCATCCTCACCCTGCCACCCTCAGCCTGCCTACCTCCCTCAGCCTGCCTACCACCCTCAGCCTGCCTACCACCCTCAGCCTGCCACCCCCAGCCTAACTACCACCCTCAGTTTGCCACACTCAGCCTGTCTTCCACCCTCAATCTGATACCCTCAGCCTGCCTCCCACCCTCAGTTTGCCATCCTCAATCTGCCGCCCTCTGCCCGCCACCCTCGGTCCTGCCACCCTTAGTCCGTCACCCTCAGCCTGCCTACCACCCTCGACCTGCCTGCCAACCTCAGCCTGCCTGCCAACCTCAGCCTGCCTACCACCCTCAGTCTGCCACCCCTCAGCCTGCCTCCCACCCTCAGTCTCCGACCGTTAACCTGCCTACCACCCTCATCCTGCCACCCTCAGCCTGCCACCCTCAGCCTGAAAACCACCTTCAGCCTGCAACCCTCAGCCTGCCTACCACTCTCATCCTGCCTACCACCATCATCCTGCCTACCACCATCATCCTGCCTACCTCCCTTAGTCTGCCTACCACTCTCGGCCTGCCTACCACCCTCAGCCTCCCTACCACCCTCATCCTGCCACCCTCAGCCTGTCTACCACCCTCAGCTTGCCTACCACCCTCAGCCTGCCACCCTCAGCCTGCCACCTTCACCCTGGCACCCTCAGCCTGCCACCCTCAGCCTGCACCCTCAATCTTCCACCCTCAGCCAGCCTCCCATCCTCAGTTTGCCACCCTCAATCTGCCACCCTCAGCCCGCC